TGGAAGTCAAGGTGCTCATATCAACAGCATTTCCCTCATCGACCCTTTCTGTTACATCTTCCAAAAATTATTTAGACAGAATTTCCCCTTTGAAAATCTGTTCTGGCCCTTCCTAACCATTACACTCAAGAAACCTGAAATCAGGCACCAGGGATTGACACTGCCAGCTGCAGAGAACATTATTCGTTTCTTGCCTCACAATCACTACATTCATTTTTTAGTCCTCCGCCTTGAATGGCCTCCTCTATTAAGATGCTGTGGTCAGTTGTCTCATCTGCCCTTCAGTCCCTGCTCTTGGCCGCACAGGCTGAAAAACCTCAAACTTCTGGGACAAGTACAAGAACTCCCGATAACGACCTCGTTCATAATCACACCTTCCTGTCCTTGACGACAAATCAAACCTGAAGGACTTAATTTAAGGGATGTGACTGCCTCCTGAAACGAATGTCCAACTAACTTTCAACCTCCTTCTTGTACCACAGTGTCCAAAGCTCAGACTCCAGATCATCTTCTCTGGTCCTCGAGCGACAGACACATCCTGCGGATATGATTTCTTTCTGCACCCCTCACCTTCCATATGCTGTAACTTGACATCTTTATTGCATTTGTTTAACTAACAAAGATTTCAAGTTTTGAAATATTAATAATGATTATTTATAATTACATTAATTAGTTAAGTGGCGAGTTTCTGTCTCCCGGGGCTTGGTTTAAGCCCAGGTTAGAGAGAAAGCCATGACATTAACCAACCAGTCACCTACCTGCATACCTAATGAATGCCTGTAGACCCTGCTCTCAGAGGTTACTGCCTCTCAGGTCCTGTCTCAGATCGCTCTGTCTCTGTAGACAAAGACCTGAGCAGCACCTTCCCCTAATCAAATTCCTGGTTTGAGTACTCTGTCAAAACTATTTGCCTTAGAGTTCTATCTCCGTGTGCCAGTTGTTCACTTTTCCTAGCTTTTAAATATTTGAAAAATATTAAGGGTTGAGAAACAATTTTTTTTTTTTAATTGCGTTTTGAGGTTGCCACTTACTCTTGCAAAGGAAATGACACCACCCAGACCGAGGTGGGAGAGATCCGGATCCCAGGCTGAGCAGAACCGAGCCAGGTTAACCACCCTCACTGCTGGCCAGAGATCCCAGCTGAGTGAACTAAATGCTGCTTACAAGAACACATTCCACTTCCCGTTTGTGACCTGTGTCAGGATGAATGACCGGCAAAGCAGAATGCAGCAGCTCAGCAGCTGGATCTTCAACAGCCCGGAGCAGGAGCTTCAGATCAGCATTAAAGAGGTTCTAAAAATCTGCCAGCTCCGACTTGTAGTTGTTATCGGCCCAACGGCCCACACCACCAAGCTTTAGCAACAACCGCTGTCACAGAGGTTCAGAACAGTCAATACGAAGAATTCAATGCTGTGGAGTATCAACTGCGAATCAAATCTGTAAAACATCTTAAGAATGTAACATCTCAAATTGATTAAATCGCTTTAGGAAGGCAATAAATGGAGTTGACTAGAATTCGCTCTTTTTTTCATTTCATTAATTAAGGAAAGGACACGCATCTGCACATTAGCTTCAATGCTTCCCAATGTTAGCATAGTCGTTATATTTGTGTGGATGGTTATTTACTAAACATAACATCCCTCCATCCCCTGTAAAGATCTTTGGATCTGACCGCATAGTGAAATGTGACAAGATTGCCGGAAATAATCAGAATTTGATTCAAACAGTCAAATCAATCCGACACCAGACGGACTCATTCTGAGCAACACGGCTGGAACCTTTTTATTAGAATTTTATCATGAGAAACACTAACTTTGTGCATTGTTTAGACAGAATACTCTGCAACGGGTAAAACCGCACAGAGTATAGTTACGTTAGTCTAACAAATTAGCCGTAATCATAACTCCTCAGATTAGTGGTCATTTATCACTCTGAGATTACAGGATCTGAGTGCTGTTCAAGTCAACTCGGAGCTAGCATTTATGAAGCCCACTCATGCAATATAATTCAAATGACAACAACTTTTGTCAGTTTTATCGCTGTTTCAAATTGCATTTTGACTTTACTGCTCCATCAAATTCACATAGGGTTGATTTAAAATTAGCCATTAACATGGGATCGACTTCGACTGCCAGAAGTCAGAAGTTAGAACTCCAACTTGGTTAAAGTTTTCCATAAAAAAAAGTTCAGAAAATTAGTCTGTTGCTCGGACTCAGAAACTGAAGACAATGAAATTACGAAGAAACAATGTTCGCAGAGATATTAAAGTTTAGAGTTTTTCGAGGAACTATTTATGTCGCAGTAAATAAGCTTTCGTGTTTCCAGAGTTATTTTTAAAATGCTTTTGAAAGGTTCCTGTTCCGGTGAAGGAATTAAAGTACTAATATGATTTCAAACATTTCAATATCAGAGCCAGAACTTTATCTACTGTTTGGGTTCCTAAAGTTGTACCCGCTGAGACAAAGGCGGTAACACGTCACAACCTGCACCAGAAACTAAAATACTTTTTCAATTGCACCGGGGTTGTAAGTAGGAAACGGCTATATATAAAAGGGAAGATAAGTTGTAGTGGTAACTAGTCTCTGTTTTGCTCCTTGCAGTGTTCCACTCAAGGCTTGAAAATATTAACGTAATATTACCATACAATACAAACCATGGATAAACATGTCAGGTATAATACTTGGATTAGCAGGTTTTATATATTCAATAGTGATAGTTTGCAACATAAGCGCTTTACTAATATAGTCGAGAATATAAAATTAATATTTCCCCTTTCTGTGATAATGTAGCGATACAGTATATTATGAAATTGATACATATTTTATTCGGTTTTCCTTGCGTTGTAACAATTGAATTGTAATAATTGAGAAACGACCAAGTTGCAGTACAGCCACTGAACGATTAATTAGTGTTTTTTTTGTTCCAGAAGTGCCCCATCATCAATTTGCCTAGATGCTGCTCGCTGAGACTAGTAACACAACGTATAAAGAAAGAAGATGCATTACTAAAATATTTGTCCACAACGGTTCAGATCCTAACCCAATGCGTCGGTTTACCAATGGCCATCTGATTAAACCGTTTTGGACAGATCGGCGTAAAAACAAAAATAAGTTGTAAAGTTTTCAAATTTGGAAACTATTTACGTATATTTAAACGCAACTGTTGAGTATCACGATGTCATTTTTTCAAAAAATAGAATCAATTGTAGCCATAACGACTGTGGAAATGTGTGTGGTAATTTGGCGCGAGTCAATTTCAAAATCTCTTCTATTTCGAGACTTCAGTATATTCTCAGAGTTTCCAGAGCAATGATTCTATAAGTTCTAGGTTTTTCGTTGGTAGTAAAACACTCTTTGTCCAGTCATTAGTTTAATATATGCACATTCTGCTTTTCAATTCAAATTGGGACGTATAATCTTGAAAAGTGTTCGAAATAATATCGTCACAAGCGAAATCAAACCGGAAAATCTACTAAACGCGAAACCCGATTTATGGAAACGTATTGATCAACATTCGACTGATATTCTGTCTCTTATGAGATGTGCGCATGCTTTCTGTTCACGTTCTCGCTACTATTTCTAACATCAACAGCAGTTCTGAATCGTGTCCGAGGACTTTTTAAAAATTATTTTATCAGTTCATAATGATCTTTTATAAAATAATGAAGAGTGAAAGTAAAGTTAATAGCAGTTGTTTTTTCCTTAGGATTTCGGTTTCAGAACTAGGGGGCATATTTTTAAGGTGAGAAGAGACAGATTTAAAAGAGATAGGCTTTTTTTTACACAGAGGGTGGTTCGCGTGTGGAGTGAACTTCCTGAGGAAGTGGTGGATGCAGGTACAATTACAACGTTCAAAAGATATTTGGATAAGTACATGAATAGGAAAGGTTTGGAAGGATATGGGCCAGAACCAGGCAGGTGGGATTAGTTTACTTTAGGATTATGGCCGGCATGGACTGGTTGGACCGAAAGGTCTGTTTCCGTGCTATGTGACTCTATGATAGATATAATTTTTTCGATAAAATTCGTTCTGTTTCTATTAATTCTATTTCATTCAGGTAAATTGTGATTGTCAAACTTCTCAATAGAACCACGGATCTTGAGCAATCCATAAAGAAATAAGACACTTCAATCCGCTGTTTCCGTGTGAACCTAATTTATTTCACTCAATTACATCTTTACCATTTACAGATAATAATTGTTACAGCTACAAGTTCTTCCACCTTTCTGTTCTACCAAACGGGATGAACACAAATCAATGCATTTACCAACTCTTTGAACATTCATCATAATCGGCTTTCTTAAAAAAAATACCTCTGTGATGAGTTTTATTATGATTACTGCTCAGTAAGCTCTGAAATGTCAGATCACAAACGACTTCTTAGTGAGGTTTCGAGATTATTTCGCCTTCCAAAGACAGAAACGTATTTTTATTGGCATTTGAGTCTTATTTTGGCTCTCATTGCCCCGCATTATATATACTGTATACATGCATTATATATAATGCAGCTGACCATGCTCCTAATTAGCTCTCACTGCATTTGTGTAAAGCATTCCAGCCGATTTTATCAAGAGGCTAGTTATTAGCTCTCTCTCTCTGATTCTGTCTCTCAGCTGTATCGTAAAATGAATTCTTAATAGATTCACGATGTGACGTGTAATTAGCCAAATCTGCCATCTTTTGAACCTTGTATGACTGGTCCCTTCCACGATTCCTGTCTGAGTCACAGTGCAGAGCCAGTTAACCTTCCAAAGCTTTTTTAAAAAAACTTTCTGGAGGTGATTAATGATTTTGGTATCAGGAGCGTTGAGGTTAAAGTGCGGAAGGTTGGAATGGAAGGCGAGAGCTTCTCAAACAATACTTGGTTGAATATGCAGCTCTTGAGCGAGTCGCTCCGGTCTCCTTATCTTTTTAAATGCAAATCTTTGGCTGTACGAGTTAGTTGACGTCACCTGCCTTTAGTTTGCCATTACTAATAGAAGCTTGTAAACAATCGTTAATCATGTGGGACACGGGCGGATCGCCCTGATCGCCTTTGGAGAGACACTGCTATAGGCAAACCAGGGAAAAAAAAGGAATAATCTGGATTTCTCCAAAACAGCATGCCGATTGCGCCCTATCGCCAACATGTACGTGAGCTATCTTTTGGATAAAGACATGAGCATGTACTCAGGGTCCGTCCGACATTCTGGCATCAACCTGGGCGCACAGAATTTTGTCAACCCGCCACAGTACCCGGACTATGCCGGCTATCATGTCCCCGGGGTCAATTTGGACAATCACCCGCAATCTTCCGGATCCTGGCCTTCTCCCTATGGCCCTACCCGTGAGGACTGGGGTGCTTACGCTGCGCCTGCGAACACGGTCCATGCCCTCAACACTTCGCCAGGGACTCTGTCTTACAGTCCTGCAGATTATAATTCGGTTCAGACCTCGGGAGCTGCCTCCATGCAGCCTTTAAACAATAACCTTCTGGAACAACCTTCTCCCAACAGCCAAAGACGCAATCCTTACCAATGGATGAGGAAACCAAATCAACAGCTATCAGCTACTGGTAAGACGGTGTTTCATGTCCGGAGACTTCCAGGCAAAATGTAAAGAACAGATTTATGCAGTACTCCCTTTTGGTATCACTGCCAAAGTCCTTTCACCTTCGCCTATAGTAGAACCGTGCTAAAAAGCAGAATTCTGCTCGACACGTTTCCGAAGGACACTCGCCTCACTGGCTCTTGGTGTTAAAGTGCACTGCTTTCTTAAACTGCCGACTACTTATTTGTGAAGACTAGCCAACTCCTTAAACACATGGGATTGATATTTTTCTCTAGATTTTTCACTGTATTTCCATTGTTTTTAAACGTAAATTTATAAACAGAATGTGAAGAAAATTAGTCTGATCATCCCCTCCACTTATCGCAGCGCGAGGGCACATTCTAGAAAATAAAATGTTTGTAACAATTCCACTTCCGCAACCCAACCACATTTCGAGAAATTGATCGCATTTTTTATTTATAAACTGGCTTTAAGCTCAGAATCTCTGTATCGGAATCAATGTTGATAAATATTACTGGCGTCGGTTTTCACACCTTGAAAGGAATCTTTATCAATTAGTTTCAGTTAAATACTCTACAAGAGTAGACAATCTGTCCCCTGTTCGAAGTTTTTTTTTTGCATTAAATTAGCGGTTTCTTAAATGCAGCCTTTCCTCTTACCTCTAAGGGGACACCCAGCAGAACTGCAAAGGTTGATGTAGACAGTCAATATACCAGTATGTGCTAGCCATCTATTTACTGTATGTATCACTCCCTGTCAAACTGTCAGGAAATTCCGCTTAAACGCTAATAAATGAGGAGGTGATGCCTTGTCAGAATACTTTCCATAATACTATCTAAAAAAAGCTCTATGTATGCAGGTTAGCAGCATTTATTATAGTCGGTGCTTTCTCATGTGGACACTGGCTGTAACAAGCCAACGTAACAGCATCATTATTAATGTATAAATGAATGGCAGTAAATTTGTAACGCGGTTGTGTGGCTGCTATTGCTTCTGCTTTCTTTCGCCTCAATGTATTCATTAACATCCTGATAAGACCCTTAAAATGTAGAGGTATACTTTAATTGCAATAATTCCCAACCTTGTTATCGACATTCGAAGATTTTATAACCAATTTCGGCCATATAAATCAGTGAGCAATGTCGTCTGACAATTGTTTCTGTGTCATTAAGCAAATATTTTTATTAGTACCCGCTATTTTCCAAGGATTAAATCACAAGTTACCATTCGCATACTGTAACTGAGAACGGCTGTCTCCATTCACCTCATTCAGAATTGGCAAAGGACAGTTCTCCCATCTTCTTAATGAGCATTAACTTTCACAATCTATTGCTTTATTCATCCCGGTTTGTCTACAGACATATAATTGATGATTTCTTTATTAACTTTAACTTCATTTCTTAACTTCAAGCAACATTCCAAAATCTCTTACAGTTATCCAGCTTTGGAATGGACATCTGTACTTGGCTAAGATTTGAAACCAAGGATTTAAAACGGGCTTTTGAGGAAGGTTGATTGAAGGTCTATATTTCCTGCATGTAGTAATTTTTCTGAGAACTATTTTTGACGGCTAGAAGTTAACACCTCAGTTGCAACGACGTGAAAGTGCACTTTTGATTTGCAATTTCTACAGCCTTGCTGGTCGAATGAAAGATAATACAGTCGGTTAAGGTCCTGTTTTAGTCAAACTGAAATGTGAAGAGGCAGCAAGCCCAGGCACCGGTCTCCGTTGTAATGTAGATTGATTTTAGCCTGAAGATTTGCACGGAGCTCAGATTCCTTTATTTATTTGATTTCCCTTTCTTCAAACTGCTGGTTGGTCTAAGTGTCAGAACCTTTCAGCATTGAGTACTTTGATATCCACTTTTTTTCTGCCAGCCAGCTCCAGCTTATTGTTCTGATTCCCTGCTGGAAAACGGTGACAAGTTTCGCAGCAAATAAAGAACTTTGACATTTCTGCATGATCCCATTTAGTTCCCAGGCCATTACGGAACAATAAATATTACTCATCTGACTAACGAAGTGTTATACGTGGCATATATTTATCTCAATTAGCACTTAAAAAATAAAGTTTCTGTGAGTTCATGACACAAAATCCATTCAAATCAATTTCACTTTCTTGTCCATACGGAAATTCATTTCGGGTACGCTGTTTGTTCGTTTAAAAAACATGCATATAATTGACATAAAACATATATACACAGGAGTGTACATACATACACAGGAGTGTTTTTTTTAAAGGAAAACCTATCATAGGAATGTAGTTAAAATGTATTAGAATTACTCCAATGCAATATTCAGCAAGTATATATCCTCATCCCTTCGTTAAACAATTAAGTTTCAAGTATGTGAGTCTTCTAAATTCATTAAAAAAAAACTTTGAAATAAATAAGCATAGCTCACTACTGACATATGGAAACCTTAGCAGCTTCACCTGTAACTATCACAGTCGTTTAGTATCTTCAATTTGCGTAGTAACTAGTTAAAATAAACTGCAGAAAGCAAATCGAAAAATAAGACTTTTTTTACTCTAAGTAAATATCCACATTAAACTCGACATTATCTCTTTCGTAACATGCTTTTTTGTTTAACTTGATAAATTAGCAAGTTTATGTAGAATTGAATTTTGGGTAAACGCGAATAAAAATAGAATTAAGAACGTGATCTTGTTCCCAATGGATTTGCTGACCCTTCCATTTCACATCCAGTGATTATTTGTATAATTCTTGCCTCACGAGATAAGCCGTGTGTTTTTAGAAGATTAATGTGTCTTTTTAAAAGTGCATTTGTCAGATGATTTTTCTTTGCATTCTAAAAATGCCCTTTGCGCGTCCCCGCCCCAAATCCAACCCTAGTCTTTGAAGCAGGTCCCCATTGAAATTCTTCAGCATTCTTCAGGAGTGGGGTTTTAAATGTAAATGTGCCGAGGCCTGTGATGAAAGGTTTTGCCGCCATTTGTTCAAGAGTGGCAATTCAAACAGAATGAGGTTGTTATTCCATCACTGAAAAATTCTCTTTGATAAGATCGCCTTGTACTGCATTGTTTGAGCCGTGTTCCACTTGAAACAGCTGTATACAGATTCCCCGGATCGGACATGTTTCCTCGCGGGGTGCTTTTGTTGTGGTTTGCAATGAATTACCTGAACAAAGTCAGCCTGCCGGCGTAGGTCGCTTAACCACAGGGAAAAACAAATGTGAAAGGCTGCGTCCCAACCGAAGCGAAAATGGGGGAAAAAAGGAGCGGAATGATTTTTAATTCACCAACACAACCCTTGCATCAATATAGTCCTTTAGGTGAACTATACAGCTGCAGCTACACCTGTTGGTCTGCTGTCCCCTCAGGGATGATGAACTATTACATAAAACCTGCCTTTAGCTCCCAGGCGGGTCTCATTTTCACTTGCTTCCTTTTTTTTCGGAGATGGTGAACATTCCCCAAATACTCACATGTCACATTTCCCGCAGAAGCGCCTGTTGTGTGTTAGTTATTCAGTTAGTTTAATGGTCCTTCATTTTTCCTGGACAAGTTTGACCAGCACGCACTGAAACTAATGTTTGCCCCATCAAATACCGTCAGCAAACCAGCGATAGGCTTCGACACTCGATTGGAAGCATGTGGACCGGTCCAACGTTTAATTTAGCTGTTACTCCATACCCGGGCCCAGAGCAACCGCAAAACACACACGGGATTCATATTTTCTTTCCCCACAGATTCATTATTGATTAACACAGACGATTCCGGATTCTTAATCTGAAGCGGGGCTTTGTACGGCGTTTGTAAAAGATCGTGTTTTGTAAATTTAAACCACTTTGATTTGCTGCAGGTATTCGGAGAAACGAAGTAAAAACTCGTTTTGTGATTTTGGTTAATGTTCTCTCAGAGTCTTTAACCATTTGATGCTTAATGTTCAACCGCTGTGCTCTTGCTTGTATAACAAGGGCATAACATGATAGAGGTGTCCAACAAGTGACATTAGAAATCGAGGCCGGAAGCTGTAAGAGATGATTTGAATGTTTGTGTCTAACCAGAAATGTGAGAAACCGAAATAGGCTCTGGGATTGCCCGAGGATGAGGCGGGTGAGGTTTATTTTGCAATTTGACTGATTTTTCGAAGTTATCATTTCAACACGGTCTGCATTACGTGCGTGCAAGGAATTCTTCACAATATTCAATGATGGAAAGTCTGGGCAGCAGTAGATGGTGAAGAATAGAATTGGGTAAAGAAGTATTGGAAGGTGGCAAAGGATTTATAATGTAAAGTGCCCAACAAAACTGGAGAGCCACATTCGGATACATCTCGCTGCTGGAGGAGCGACGACTTTACAGCACTCTGTACGTTAAACCCGGCCGGCTACTGCACTTTGTGTCCTGCTTAAACATTTAGGTTCAGCTATCGATTGACCTCTAGTAACCTTTTATTCTAATGGGCAATGGGTATTTTTCCTCTTGTGTTTGTTGAGCCCTCCAAATCAATCGCCTTTACATGCAGTGAATTCAGGCTTACATCGGAGAAACTGAAATAATGTCTTTGCACTGGAGAAATCTACAAGTCACCATGGTATTTGCTAATGAACGGACTCAGTATTTCAGAAGTGTCCGTGCATCAATATGTGTGATAATTTGTTTCCAGACCAACTCGGAAACAAGTCAACACGAGAAGCAAAATCACTGCAGGTTGAATAATATTTATCAGATGTTTAAGATAGTTTTGAATGGCGGACAGGCTGAAAGGCCTACTCCAGCTCTATTCAATTTTATGCCTCTAAAATGTTCACTTGTTTCACTAATCCGAGAGAATCGGCATCACCATAATGTACAGTGTACTTAACTTTTTTTAATTATATGGTCTTCCACTCCTACTGCAGATAAAACAAGAACAAAGGACAAATATCGGGTGGTGTACACGGATCACCAGAGACTGGAGCTCGAGAAGGAGTTTCATTACAGTCGCTACATCACGATTCGGCGCAAAGCAGAACTGGCAGCTAACCTGGGGCTTTCTGAGAGGCAGGTCAGTCACAACGGTGAACACACTCCTACAATCGGAGTTCCCACTTCGGCGCCATCACGGCATAGTCAGAGCGCCTCGCATATTTCATTCTCAGTCATTTCGAAACCCATTTCCTCTCCACTTCTGATTGAGAGGATGCAATAACTCATAAACCCGTTTGAAAGTTACACTTGACAATGTAACTCAATCCAATGTGTTCAGTGATAAATATGAAGTCCGAATCTCAAAGGAGTATGCTATAATCTCTCGTGTAACTCTTGAGAGGTTATTGAATAATCATTAATGTAGGGGGTAAAAGCCGGGGTATTTCATTTCTATCTGGACAGGCCAGTATTTGCGATTTTGCACCACATACGGAACTAAGATTAGGAACATTAAAAAAACAAGGAGAGATTTTAAACTTGGATTGATCACAGTTTATCATGACCAATAAATCTGGCGGAGTTATCATTTGTCGTTTCATAATTGTTATACAAAAAAAAAGCTAATTTGGTAAATTAAAAATAACTTCGCAAATTTAATGTAGAGCAGCTGGCAATACAAATAGAAAGTTTAATTAAATCACCGTCCCATACAAACTAGCCATTTTTAGTACCTCCAATTCCCATTAGATATTTCAACCTAGGTTTATGATTGTAATACGTCGTATTTCCAGCGATTTTATGTACATTTCTTATATAGATGTCCCCCCCGATGTGGCTAGTTTCTTTCAGCAAGTAGGAACACCGCTGTGTCTATCGAAATACATTCATTACCAGGGGCTAAAGATAATTTTATTCGCAGGTTTCTATTGGCGAGTTACAATAAAATTGTTAAATGGAAGTTTGTTGTTGTTTTTCGAACAAGAACTGCGTCCTAAAAAGCGACGCCATTATCCGAATTTATAATTTGCATGGTTTAACAGCGCTGTTCAAGTTATTCACATTGATTTAATCTTATTTTGTAATTTATTCAATCCAAATGTCCCAATCCGTGCGCGTGTCCCTCCTGGACCTGACAGCCTTTGAACATAACTTGAAAGTATAATGAGTTGATACTATTGTTCTAAGTTATTTTTCGTTCGTTATTTTCAGGTAAAAATCTGGTTTCAGAATAGAAGAGCAAAAGAGCGGAAACTGACGAAAAAGAAGTTGCAACAGCAGTCCCAGCAGGGGTCGTCCCAGCTGAGCCCAGCTCATCCCGGGACAGCCGCTTCTCTTTCGGTTACTAACGGCGGAATACTGGCTGCCAACGGCGGTGTTTTATCTGGAACAGTGTCTCAGTGACCATTCTTCAGATTTTAAGAGAGAGTGAGAGAGAGAGAGGGGGGGGTTGGGTGGGGTGGGGAGAAAGTGAGAACCCGCACCTCCATGTACCAGGAGCTCCAGAGTTATCAGTGCCCAAAAAGAGCCTTTACAGCACTCCAGGGATACATTATGGAAGCATTGGACTTTTTATATCTGGCATTGTTTGGACATTTCGTTGCAGACTTGAATAAGCAGCTATGAGATCTGATCGTTAAAGAGCACTGAGGATCTGCCACGGGCATAACGAAAATGTGAACCGACTGTAACTTGGATTTTCTGTTCTGTTTTCCGGTTATAAAACATTGACATGTTCTGTTTAATATAGTTGTCAACTGGGTTGTTGAGTATCAGAAATACAATCAGTTGCATTTCGACATTTCAAATGTGAACCTAGTCCCTCTTCAGAAATGCTCCTGAGTTGGATTGTACTTATTTTAATTACTTCTGTCAGCTTTGGATGTATATAAATTGGTATTTCCTCTTTAAAGATACTTTTGTAAATCTAATACGCTAGTTGTAAACAAATCAGTTTATTACATTGTAGATTTGAAAGTTTGAATTCTGAATCAGAGATTTGATTTTATTTACCAGATGTTGATTGTAATTTTGCAGTACACTTTTATTCCGCGTGGGGAGGGGAGGCGAGGGTGACTCATTGTTGTTGCTCTGGGGCATTGAAGGTAGTAAATCATCCATTTTGGTTGCATTTGGAAAGAGAGGAAAGCACTTTCACAGAAGTTAATGGATTGGTTTTACAATAGCCAGATCACCGACAATTGCTTAACGATCTGCTAATGCTTTATATGTGTACTGCACAAGGACATCCATAATGTTGAACCATTTTGAAAACTGCAGTTATAATGCCCTGGCACTTAGTGTATGTAGAATGTGGGCGCCTTCCTACAAACTACCATACGAATTGGTAGCATTACACTCCAATCTCAATTTTCACTAAACGCAAAAGGTTACGATGGCAGTACTTTTGTCCACAACATGCGAAAATGCGATTAACTTGTGTTTCTTTTATTTTTGTTCAGTTATAATTTAATAATACGCATTTAGGCAAGATTTAATTTAATATAAACTGACTCTTTAACCTTGAAACCAATTGAGATGAGAGGGTCCGCTGATTGTTTGCAAGAGTAGAATAGGTCACATTATCACTTTGTTCAGTGTACTGGAAAACGTACTTTGATACTTCCTACATACTATGGAATAAATACAGCTAGATAATTGATCTTATTGCCGATGAGTTGACTGGCGTTGCTATGCGTTGCTGTGAAACGGCAAACCATAAACTGTGTTTGGTGGCGAAGCCGAGCAGAAGAGTTGTTTGTACAATGGATGCAGGGCAAAAGTCAGCATTGTTCTGGTGGGGGACGATTACAAGTTTGCAAAGTGTAACACTGCAAAATCTGCGCCAATGAAGCTTGCATACTTCTTCAGAAGAAATCCAACATCAAATACAAAGCGCCGCATTAATTTTCCAATAAGACGCTTCCCTCACTCAAGGGGAGCTTCCATATTAATTCGGAAGAAAGAAAGTACCAGCATTCAATCATGGCATAGAATAATCACACGGTGCAATCTTGATATCTAATGACCAGTTTAATAACTTGGAGTTAAACGATTTACCCAAAAACACGTTTCTGGGCAAATGTTTCTAAAATGAGTTTTTGCTCCTTATCAAATAATCCCGAGAAACATAGGAAAAATCAGAAGTTTAAAACAAATTCTCTGTGCATCTTTCTAGAGGGGCTCGCCGAATTTCATTGACTTCTTTAGGAACCTGTCATGGCTCAGTATTCACGAGTTCATCGCGAGATTTGTGGTCAAGTGGTCAAACCCTTTTTTCATCAAGTTTAGACTTAAGACATCACAACAGCGTCACCACATAACTTTGCAGAAGTTGTGTTTTTTTCTTTCAAGTTAAATACCGTGAGATGAATAAATTAATTCATACGTCCAGACATCAAGCTAGTGAATAGGTAATTACTTTCAATGTCCAGTCAACGTGGTCGTACAATGCGATGTGCTATCAGAACAGTAGCATATATACAGCCGCACGGGGTATCATAAGAGGGGATTGCTTTCTATGTTTAGTGTTGACGTTTGTGAGTTAATTCAAGGATAAAGCAGTATGTGAAACTTTGGCATCTTTGACATCTTTTGCTTTGATAAAATCTGATTTAACGACCTGTTTACTGCCTCAATGTCTCAGGCCCTGCCTCATAAGGTTGAACAATTGACACAGTGTGACGGACAAGTATGTTGTCACTTTCCTACTCGTTGAGATGGCAGTTAGTACTTATATATATATATATATATATACACTCATATATACCCTCTCCTCGCCAAGACCAGTGAATAAAATCCCAAATAGACATTGTGTAAAATCCCAAGTAAGTAGTGTATTTTGCCTGATTTTGTCCCAGACGAGAGTCATCCGCCCGTCACCTTTAAATACTGTGTTCAGTTTTGGGTAGCACACACCATACATCAGAAATGATACGGAATAGAGCAGTAGGTTTATCTTAGATATAAAGAGGGATGAGCTACGTGAGAAAAAAAACAGAAGCTTATCTTCTACAATTTTTCAATGGGTTGTAAAGGAAGAATTTGTGTTTCAAAAGTACCAATAATTCTGAAACAGATAAACGTAAACAAGAAAAAAACATGGTCTTCCTCAAAAAAGTCACTTGCACGAAATATTTTGCAGACTAATGACCATATAATAATGGTGTTTGAAAAGCAGTTAACATAATTAAAAATATACTGAACAGTGACCCACTTGTTGCCACATCATTTCCCTATCACCATCAAAGGTCTGCGATCAAATATTACCTTCAAACTGGTATTTGTTTGGATGGACAAGACTAAACTTGGAGAACAGCCTGACTTTTTGACCACAAATCTAGCGATAACTCATGGATACTGAGCCACGTCAGTTACTGAAGAGGCCATAGGAATGCCAGAGAATCATTTTCAGCGAGAGCTGCCCCTAACCACCTCTCCCTGACAATCATTTCAGTACCATGACTGAGTCAGGCACTGTTAACATCTTGCGGGTTACCATTGGCACAAAAAAAAAGCACACTGGGTCCGCCATCTTTTGATCAAAAGAACAGTTAGAGGCTGGACATTCTGTGGACAGTGACTCACCCTCAGTCTACCCAAAGCCTGTTCCCCTGTCTACAAGGCACATGTTAGGAGTGTGATGATACTCTCCACTTGTTTGGATGAGCTCAGTCCCAGCACCACTCGAAAAGCTCATTATCATTCAGTACAAAGCAACTAATTTGATGGGCATCCGGTCTACTTACCTTAAACATTTGGGGGTATTAGATAGGCATATGGATGATAGTATAAGGTAGCCGTGGAGGTTAGATAGACCTTAGGTTTCGGGTAAAAGTTCGGCACAACATCGTGGGCCAAAGGGCCTGTACTGTGCTGTACTGTTCTATGTTCTATGTTCTCCTCCCACCACAGAATATACCGTTTGCATGGTGCAGCTATTTGACAGCACCTTCTAAACCTTTACCGCCGAGAAAAACAAGGGCAGGATGCAGATGGGAACCTATCCCCAAGATATCTCCATATGCAGATAGGTTCCTCTCCAAGTCACACATCATCCTGACGTGGGAATATTCATTCTTCACCGTCACTGGGTCCTGGACCTGCCTTCTGAACGGCACTGTTGGTGACTGCAAGGGATTTAAGAAGGCATAGGGATAAGTGAGAGGTAGACAATAAATGCATGCCTAGCTAGCAATTCCCACAAATGTATATTAAAAAAAAACACTGAATTGTTAGCTAGTAATTACAAAACACTGTATTTTTACATTTTTAAAATTTAATTTTAATCTATTGCATTGCTTGTTTCCGGTAATGAGTCACCTGGTCAAACCATACAGCAACTTCGGAAATAAATCTCCTCGGGTTCTTTTCTAATTATGTCCTCATTTGTAATGCTGTGGTCCCGGTCTTTACAGCTGCTTCTAACTGGGAAGTAAACCTCTCTGGTAATATTATTCTGACGAAAGAATTTACTTAATGCCATATTAAACTGTTAACCTTTTAGCTGATAACAAGTTCCTTAAAAGCGTATGAATTCCGTTGCTGACCACAGAATTCTTACGATCTTAAATCTTAATGGGAATGGCTTCAAGTGTTTCGCTTATTAACCTAGTGACACTCATAATGAGCTGGCTCATTAAGGATTTAAAAGACAGAAGCTCGATAAGTTACCGCTCTTCCTGTTATACGCATTAATATTGTATTACAGTCAGCTCGCTGTGTACTTTCCTCGGAATAACAAATGTGTTAGTTACATTCCGGCTACCAGTGATCTCTAGCCAACAGGTGGCAGTATGGCATCGTATATGTTGTCTCTCTTTGCTTACGATATTTAAATAATTATTAACATAATTCCACCTAAATATCTGCTTTTCTTTCTTGCCAAACAACGAACAAGTTTTTGGCAACTCAGCGATTTGTGAATTTGGTGTCAATCGTGTCTCGGTTAATAGCACTCTAACCTTTCAACACAAAGTTTGTGGGTTCGAATCTCCGTCTATCGATTTAAACAGGAAAATGTCGGCTAACATTCCAGGGCAGCAATGAAGTCTTTTAAAAGATTGAACATTAACCTGAGATCCTAATTGCTCTCTCAACTGCATGTAAAAGATTCAACAGCATGATTTTGAATTCCCACAGGGGAGATATCCCCACTGTCCAAGATCGATATTTATCAATGAGACCATCAATAATCCGAACTCAATCAATGTCTCTAGAACAGATTTATTTTGGAAAGAAGAAATGCGTTCACAGGACATGGATGTCACCGGCCACGCCAGTATGCATTGCCCATAGAGAAGGTGATAGCAAGCTGCCTCATTGACCTGCTGCAGCCTATAGACTGTCGTAGGAGATGCAATCACAGAAAGGGGCTTCTTGGATTTTGAGCCAACAACAGTGAAGCAATAAAACTCCAAGTCAACATGGTATGAGACTTGCAAATGCTGGTGTGCCACGTCTGACCTTATGGTGGAGGGGAGGTCATTGGTGAAGCAGCTGAAGATGGTTGGGCCTAGGACGCTACCTTATGGAACTCCTGCAGAGACGTCCTAGGAGAGGTTTACCAGGATGTTGCTGCATATGGAAGGTTTGAGTTATAAAGGCTGGATAGGCTGGGATTTTTTTTCACTGAAGCATAGGAGATTGGAGGTGACCTTGCAGAGTTTCATGAAATAATGGGGGGTATATCTAAGGTTAATGGTAGTTGCTTTTTCCCTAGGATGGGGAATTTCAAGACTAAGGGGCACATTTTTAAGGTGAGAGGACAGGGATTTAAAAAAAAGGCATGGGGTAATTTTTTTACACAGAGTGTCATTCAGGTGTGGAATGAACTTCCTGAGGAAGTGGTGGATGTGGGTACAATTACATTGTTTAAAAGACATTTGAATAAGTACATGAAAAGGAAAGGTTTGGAAGGATATGGGCCAAGAGCAGGCAGGTGGGACTAGTTTATTTTGGGATTATGTTTGGCATGGACTGAAGGGAATGTTTCTGTGCTGTATGACTCTATGTCTCTATGACTGACATGATTAATTGCCAACAAATGTCCATTCAACTGATTTTCTGCTTATATGACAAATGTGTTACCTCAGGAAACAGTCTGGTGAGCACATAATACACTCCTTCTATAGCAAGGGTATTGTTTCTTAGGTAAAGAATCAAAGCTACACATAATACTCTAGCCATAGTTTCACAAAGATACTGCGCAACTGCAGTAAGTAGACCTTGCTCCTGTATTCAAATATGTTTACAATGAAGGGCAACATATCAATTACCTTCCTAAATGCTAACTGCATCTGCATGCTTGCTTTCAACATATGGTGTAGAAAGACATCCAAGACCCTTTGTATATCTTGTTTTCCCAATCTGTCTCCATTTAAATAATGCTTTGGCATTCTGTTTTTCTAACCAAAGTGGACAATTTCACAGTTATCTACATTATACTGTAATTGCCCCTTCTCTCAACTTGTCAAAGTTGCCCTGCAGTCTCTCATCTAGTTTTTGTCAGAAAGCTCAACAATATTACTCTCAATTTCTTCATCCGAATTGTTGATATAATCTGTAAATAGCTGGGATCCAAACACTGATCCCTATGGCATCCCACTTGTCACCACTTCCTACTTTGAAAAATGACCAATTTATTCCCATTCTTTGTTTCCT